AGCGACGCGTGATCAACAATTCGAGCAGAAGGCCAATCCAAAGAGTTTTGAGGCTAAGTAATTGTGGATGTCCAGCCCACTTCACAGGAGTGTCCCAGCGCCGAATTGACGCGGAATTGAGTTTGGCGTAATACGGCTCTCCTATCTTTATTTAGTAAGTTGCCAACGCCGCGTCTGATTATTATAACCCGGTCTTTATTTTATAACCGCCAGGTAAGGTCAGCTAGAGAGGATTATAGCAGAATAACAAACTACACCTTATATATCTCTTTTCCTGGCTGTTTGGCCCGCGATGGATTATCCTACATCCCCTTTATAGACAACCGTCCACCTATTCCCCCACGGGTTTCCAGGCAAACGTCATATCCCGTATAATCATTGCCTAGGTTCGACCAATTATTAACTGGCTAGGAGGGGTAATATCAAACTAATAAGGAGTTGGGAAATGGTTGGCAGAGAAAGTGAATCCCGGAAGAAACTGTCAAACTATGTTTCCCTAGTTAACTGCAGCAGCACCTCGCTTGACCCGAGCATGACCTCCGGTGGCGATAGGATGGGCGGGAAAATAGAGATGAAGGGACTTCCTGAGTCGGCAGAAGAGCGCGACGGGCAGAGCCATTATATTGGCGATGAAGAAAATGGACATGAGGATGAGCATGCATATCCACCGCAGTCACCAGTGTCTCCTTCGATGAACTGGAGGCCACTGTCGCTGGGCGGGCCCTCAAGAAATAGGCGAAACTGTTTCCTGCGAGATTCCCGCGTTGCTTGTTTCCCCAGAATCTCCAAACTGTGGAGGAAAGGGCCGGGGTCGGGGTCGATGACGCGACGCCTGCTGCGGCACTGCATCGTGGGTGCTCTAGTTGTACTGTAGGTGTTTTTCTTCCTCGTCATGCCTCGTTAATTTCCTCCCCCGTCGTGTCATTCTCTGATTATTAGTGTATTCTTCCCATATCTGTTACACACTCCAGTTGATGTATGTTTTGAGAAGCCAACGGACCGGGGTATAAGCAAGAATATGGCTGACGCTGGCGACAACAACAGAGGGCTGGTTCAGTTGGTCGCTCTGACTCTAGGGGCTTTAGCGTCTCTCTTACCTGGTGACATCGAGGACGCCATTTTTCGATGGGGTCGAACCGGCAAACAAAGCGAGTATCGCCCTTACTGGCCTACGGGTACAAGGGGTGTTAAGCCCATCCCGTGCCATTCTCATAACGACTATTGGCGTCCTGTACCCCTGTTTTCTGCCCTGGAGGCCGGCTGCATCAGTGTAGAGGCGGACATCTGGCTCCTCGACGAGGACCTCTTTGTGGGCCATACTACGTCTTCTCTCGCTCCAAATCGGACTTTAACGTCAATGTATATCGACCCCCTCGTTAAGATCTTAGATAACCAGAACCGTAACACCAGTTCCCATTCCAAAAATTCACCAAATGGCGTTTTCAATACTCGACCATCCCAAACCCTGGTCCTCCTTATCGATTTCAAGAATAAAGCACTTGAAACTTGGCCGCGTCTCCTTTCCCAGCTGTCCCCGCTACGTGATCGCGGCTACCTTACTTATTTGAATGGAACAGATGTGACGGAAGGCCCGATCACTGTGGTTGCGACAGGAAAGGCACCATTCCAGAAAATTATCGCCAATGACACATATAGAGATATCTTCTTCGACGCCCCACTAGACAAGCTGGGCAACAGTGCGATCCTAGAAAATCACGAACGGTCCTCAAGCCCAAAACTTGTCAACAATGCAGGCATAGATGACAAGTTAAACATTATGAAACTCCGCCGTCATCTACAGAACGGCACGCCCAAGCAACGTAACTCCCAACTCCCAGAATCTTCTCCCACTAGAATCGACAAAATAAAAGCAGCACCCAACAATTACGTGTACAATTCTAATAACAGCTACTATGCCTCCGTCTCCTTCATGAAATCCATCGGCTTCCCCTGGCGTTTTACTCTTAGCCAGAAGCAATTGGCGCGGATCCGAGCCCAGGTGCGTGAGGCGCACAAACGTGGCCTTAAAGTGCGCTATTGGGCTACCCCTGGCTGGCCGCACAGTTTACGAGATCGCATATGGAGGGATTTGATTAGGGAAGGCGTGGATATTTTAAACGTCGACGATTTGAGAAGCGCACCGAGACTAGATTGGGGTAACATGTCGCTGTCGCGATGACAATGTTAAATTAAATATAGCTAGGGTCTTGGATTGGTCGCTTTTTTGGCTGCTCTATTCTCTCCTTCAACATTGTCTTTTGGTCTTTCCTTTTCCATCTTTTGGGAGTTTAATCTGGATTGAACTAACTCTGGGCTATATTTGTATTACTTGAAAGATTTTCTGCTTTCTGGATATTGATCAACTGGGCTGAGGGGGCGTTTGGTTCATTTTATATATGAGATGCAGCTCTGTGAGTTGTCAGTACGGCATCCTCCTTTGTTCTCTTACCTAAGAATTATATGCCACTAAAAACGCGATTTTGGATTGGATTTGTTGTTCTTCATATTTATCTTATAGCACGGTGATCTCATGAACAGCATTTTTATTAAACCATTGACCTGAACTATTCTAGCGAACCGATGACCAAACAAAAGTCTGTATTCTAAAGTTTTTCTTTTTCCCTGTGCGCGGTGTTCCATCCTTCTGTTTCTGTTTATGCAAGAACCTGCTTGAATTAGAATGTAAAACAAGTAACAGAGGTGATGTAAAGTACATTTTCATTGAATATATATATATATATATATATATATACACGCATATATCCTTACTCTCTCTCTTTGTGTATTTGTGTATGCATGGTGTATGCATGTGTGTGTGTTGGTATGTACACAACAAGAGAGACACAAAAAAAAAAAAAAAAAAACCACAGCAACGTTCTCCCGAAATAGATCCAGCGGGGAAAACGAAAAATAAAATAGAATAAAAAAAATATTTATATATATTTACAAACACCCCAGCGCCTCCGTGCCAAACTCCCCCACCACACTCCCCTCCCTCCTCATCAACTCGCCCAACCACCCCTTCGCGCTCTCAAAGTCCTTCGCTCCGAACTTCACAAGCACGAAATTCGATCGCACTCGTGCCGCCGTCCATGTTACGGGGACCTGCCCAGAGGCTCTGGTGCTGGGTATGGGAGCAAAGGCGCTGGCCGCATTGGATGATGCAGCCCAATTCCGCCCGCCAATGCGCGGGAGGGAGGAGAATTCCTCCATGATGAAGGAGGCAAGGGAGTCGAAGAGGGGTCCGTGTAGGATGAGGGTTCTCACGATCCCGTGCGGGCGTGTGCGGGACTGGATGGAGAGCGCAGCGGGGGAGGCGTGTGCTGTTTGCTGCGACGATGCGGGTGTATGCGAGCATGTCGACGGTGGCAGCGGGGGCGGGATCGGGTTGGAATCCAAGTCCGGGCTGGGTAGGAGGTTCCCATCCTGGTCCTCTGTGTATCTGGTCTCGTCTTCCAGGACGACGGTGTCGCGGAGCAGCAGCTTGCGGGCGCCCGTGGACGGGTCCTCGGACCAGACCTCGTTGCGACCCTTCCAGGAGTGGAAGTCCCAGTCTTCGCCCCGCGCGGTGCGGCCTTGGGTTACCCAGTCGAGGATGCAGAGGCTGGGTCCGTGGTTGCCGGTGGCGGTATTTGCGTCCTCTGGGTGCTTGTCCTGCAGAAGTGTAAATCGCTGCACCTGCTCATACTGGCTATCTTGGAACGGTTGGGAGGGGTCAGGGATGTAGCAGAGGCCTGCTTGGTGGCTCAGTTTCACGTCGAGTGCCTGAGAACTGTTGCATTGTGGCAAGCCTTTGTCATGAAGGTTAGTTTTAATATTAACAACTTTGCTATTGCCATTTCCCGTTGGTTGCTGGATGTTAATCCTTTTGTTGCTGGGATCGTGGTCTTGGAGAACGGGCTGCCCGCCTCTGTCCGTCGCCCGCGTCCGCTCTGTCTTGTATATCTTGGTGCTCCCTTGCGGCGTCGTCACCACCAATCTCGTGCACGGTTGCAGGGTGATCGAGACATCAATGTGGTCACCGGGAAGCAATCCGCCGCCGTAGGTGAGCAGGTAGAGATGGACGGGGATAGTTGCGGATTCCGGGTATTTGGAATTGAGGGGCGTTGCGGGAGTTCTGTTCAGAAGCTTCAGCGGGTACTGGTAGGACAGGTGAGAGATGGTTGTGACGTAAGGGGGCAGCACGGAGAGGACAACCTCCCCGCGGCCGGGAGAAGTCTGAGCTGTTGCGAAGGGGGAAACGAATGGGCATTTGGGAACATTTGGTGAAAGGATGGTTTCCTTTAAGGGGAGGCCCGAATGGAACTTGTATGTGTACATTCTATTGCGCAGATATTTAAGCTGGTGTGGAGTTGGATACGGAAAATGATTATTTTGATAGTTGACGCAAGTGACTCAGGTTGGAGGAACTACTAGTATTTAAAGTGAATAGTTGAATATTTCCCGGTCGTTCTTATATCCCCAATCGGCTGTGTGGATGCATAAAGTGTGTGATGTTCCCATGAATCGCACCCCGATCCTTGCGCTTCCAATGGTTAGGGCCACCTCTCGCCCTCTCGCCACATAAGATCGCCCTCTTATTAATGGCTATTTCCATCAGCGGGTTACAGTTGAACGTAGTTTAAAAGAAGTGGGTCTGAAAAATAAACCATGCTCAGCCCTTCACTCCCTCACTAAAACCTGCACACACTAAGTTTCTTTTACACACTCTCATTGCATGTTACTACGGAGTAAACAGCTCTTATTTAGTTCTTCTACTTCAATATCTGAAGCTCTTCAACATCTGAAAAGCTGTTATGAGTTAGAATTAGCGATTAATATTAGTCAAGAGATAGGGCTTTGGGAAATAAGATAAAATCACTGTGTCTGGTGCATTTGAAGATGTGTGAGAGATGTGTAGGGGGTATGGCTAGTGCATGTAGTTTTAATTGGGGGGTTAACATGGTTTATGGCCAAAACCACGCCGAAGGTTATTCCGGCCCGAAAAATTAACCATGTTCAACTTTTTATTGGCCACATTCAACTGGTTGCCTTTGACTCTATGTGGTAGCACTTACAGGTACAAGAACTCTATGTGGTCTCCTGGCATTGAAGGTGGAAAAATTTCCAGTCTGAATCCCTTTTTCCATGACGCTTCCATGACCCTTTTGATGTCCCATCCCCTGAATAGCGATTTGGCGATATAAATGAAGATGTCTGATACTAGGCCCCATAAAACGCGTCGCGCAAAGTCGCTTTACCGTCATATCTCCCCTTCCGGCGAAGACCCCAACATAATATCCTGATCTTTACTCCTCCTTATCTGCTTTGCTTAGACCAAGTATGTTCTTCTCCAACCTGCCGACTGTGGTTTTGCAACTCGCATTGTGAGGTTCCATGAACCGGTCTTATATATATATTTCTCTTTGGGTATGTTTGTTCTGTACTGTGCTTTTTGGAGTTACGGGCCACACAACTTCTGCTTTCGTCAAAAGATGCCTTTCCAAGCTCAAGGAAAAATTGGGTAGGATCCACAGGCAAGTAAGTGATACGCCCAAGCCTGTAGCCATAAGCCCACTAATTCCTTTATCCCCAAGGCGAATGAGTCTTTGGACATATCAGGCTGGGAAGGCGATGCTCATGTTCGTATTCAGCGTGGTGCAAAGCTTTAGTAAAGGCACCTTTACGGTGGTTAGTTTCTTGGACGGAACATGCGCACATGTAAGCAGCTGCTCCTGCTACCGCATATAGGCAAACCCTTTCGCGGAGGCTTGAAAATTTTTCGGTTTGCAATGGCTTATGCGTCTGTTCTTTGAAGTTGCCAGAGTACGAAGGGAAACATGATATGTGGAAATTTTTGCCAAGCTCTTCCTATTTCGGGATTTCAGTGTCGGGTACCTGGATCGAAGATAGGATTACCATGGGTCACGCTGCTAATGTTGAAATAACTAACCCTCTTACTAGGGAGACGTTCTCTGACTGGAAATATGGGAAGATGCAAAGGCAAGGGGTTCTCAAAGTAGCTCATGCTGGGTTGGCGTTTTCGATAAAGTACTGGTTAGAAATACAAATTGGTGTTATATCACCTGGTCAGGGTTTTTATTCTCGATCATTGACGTTTTTCTGCATCGGGATTGCTAATAGCGACCACCTTTCCAGAGCGCGAACCGGAGGGAATTTTGTCCTGCAGAGACCAGCTGCAAGCGTACCTGATCGTTGAGTAGGCTAGCAACAATTTGTAGTTAAGTTATAACTAAAGGTAGTGAACGATTCTTGCCTCTGACTTTCTCAGCCACGTTGTATGAGACAATTTAGTTAACTACCTGCTTGTGTTTGAGGTCTTTGTCTTACATAATCTCTTAGTCAGTCATCATAGCTCCCTGTGTCCTATCGCGATCCAAGATCCACAAGATCCACAACCTGAACAACGGGCTAAGCAATTAGCTAAATCGGCAGAGGCCAGCTTGCGTTAAAAAGCTATGGATGCCGCCTGAACTCCCGCCGCATACGTCCCTGCCACGCACAAACCCGTCTTCCGTGTTCTCGGGTTTGCCTCTCGATCTCCATGTTTCGGACCATCAAACCATTGATTCTGACCAGGGCCAGGACGTCCAACCCCAACCCGTAGTGGGTGACAAAGCCACCAGTCCTCCTGTCGCTGGTCGTCGCGATAAAGTTTCCTTGGCTGGACAAGAGGAAGATCCGGGAAATATTGAAGACGAAGGGCTCGAAACGGAATCCGACGAAGATAACGCAAATAGCCCAAGCGGGTCTAAACTCTCATCCGGCGAAGACTTTGACGAACCATTTCAACCTCCTGGCCGATCAGCCAAACCGAAAAACCTTCCAATGAGGCGCTCTAAAAAGGCCGGATCAGTCAAACGTCGCTCCTCCAACAGGCCGGGCCTGTCCGTCGTGGCTGGCGGTGAAAACGGCCACGCCAACAGCGACATGAATTCCAATGTCGAAATGCGGAGGAAGGACAATTCTCTCGACTCGGCCCCTTCAGCTACCCAGGCTGTCCAGCTGATGAACAGATCAAATTTCACGCTCGACGATGAACCCCCAACCCCTCAAACACCGAGGATGACGAACATGAGCTTTAGCGATCTACCCATGTATGACAAGCGGAATTTTGCGCTGTTATGTCTTCTCTACTTCTTGCAAGGTGTACCAATGGGCCTAGCGGCCGGATCAGTCCCTTTTCTTCTTAAACCTTTCCTCTCCTACGGCCAAATCGGCATATTTTCCCTTGCGTCATACCCTTATTCCTTGAAACTGTTATGGAGCCCCATTGTAGATGCCGTTTGGAGTCGAAGATTTAGAGGGAGGAAAAGCTGGATCACGCCCATCCAGATGCTATCATTGATTACCATGTTATACCTGGGAGGTAGTATTGATCAAATGA